AGAAGTATAAATAACTTGGTCAAGGATCCCAAGCTGATGGTGGGACTTTGGCTATAGACATCACATTCTTTTTTTTTTGGTACCAGGGATTGAAATTGGGTCCTTGTGCTTGGGAGGCAGGCGGCAGAACCACTGAGCTAAATCCCCAGCCCTAGACATCACATTCTTTGTTTTGGTTTTTTGAGACAGTGGCTCACTGTGCAGTATGGCTGGCCCTGAATTCACTCTGTAGCCCAGGTTGGCCTCAGATTTGTAGCAAACTTCTTGACTCAGCCTCTTGAGTGCTGAGAATACAGGTATGCATCACCACACCTGCAGGCACCACTCCGCTGAGCTACATCTCCAGCCCAGAAGTCACATTCTTAAGTTCTGTAGTGGTCTCTTTATCTGTAGAGCTCCTTTTTAGATGTAACTTTTGAATAATATGAATAATATTGTTATTTACAGTTATATGGTATTGTTACTGTATAAAACAAGTGAATATATAGTATCCTAGTGAAAATAACCTTTATTGCCATAATCTTGTTTGTACAATGTACTGAGATGACTTTAATTTTCTCCATCTTATATATGATTTTTTTTCCTAGTCAGTCCTCCGTAGCACTGCAAGATACATAGATATCTAAAGTTTTTTCTTATGTTATGTTGCTTTTGTTTTGTTACTTGTTTCTTTGAGACAAGGTCTCACTGTGTAGTTCAAGCTGGCCTTGAATTCACTCTATAGCCCAGGCTGGCCTCCTGCTTCATCCTCCAGAGTGCTAGGACTACATACGTGTGCCATCAGGCCTGGCTTCTTGTGTTGGGTCTGGTCTTATGTAATGTGCCCAATCCATAGTTTTATAATAGATGCCTAAGAACTTATTGTAAAAACATGTGTAGAAAGGCCTACAAGATGAATTAGCCACTTCACTTTAAATTACATTGTCTGTGAGGGTGATTCAGAGGTCTCACTACACTGTGCCATTTTGTACTCTGATGATATTGCTAGTCAGGAAATCATAGCTGATTTTCTGAAAAAGTAATTGTTTTGTGACTTTCTTTCCTTTTGCAGGAAGATCTGTTTCAACAGCCAGGCCTGAGGTTGGAATTTGAACATATCAGGGACTGTTTGGATACTGGGATGATTGATGACCTCTGTATCCTTCAGGCATTCAGCTTAGTGTGTGTGTGCGTGGGGGGGGGGCAGGAGACAGAGGGCACATATGAGAGAGATGAGAAAAGAGAAATAGTATTTTAAAGTTCAAAGTCTCCTATTGTGTTCCAAACAATCATGTTTTTCCTACTTGAAGTGTGCGTAGAGAAGACTTTACAGCTTTAAGCAACTAATACAGCAGGAACTCAGGAGGGCCTAGCTCACCTGACAGACACCTTTGAGATGTCAGGCTGGCACCCTGGCTCTGAACAGAACCTGGCTGAGCAGGAGCATTTGCTGTATGTACTTGTCCCTGGGCCTTCTCTTAACCAGGGGCAGTGAAGCAACATCACCTGTTCCTTAACAGTGGGCCCAAAGCTGCCAGCAATCATTCTGTAGCTGAAGCCTTGCTGCTTTTCCTGGAGAGTCTGCCAGAGCCTGTGATTTGTTATAGTGCCTACCATAGCTGCTTGGAGTGTTCTGGTAATTACGCAGCGAGCAAACAGGTGAGAGGAGGCACTGAACATCACTGTACCTGTGTTGTGGCTCTCCGTAGGCCCAGGAGGCCTGATGGAACGAATTGGGCCGTAAGTGCAGTGTTTTAGAAACTTAACACCTTATCTTTCCTTCTCAAACCTGTTCTTCCTCTTCCTTTTAATAGCATCACCTTTAATGGTAGTGACTCGACTCTGAAATCTGAATCATTTCTTAACTCTTCCCTCTCCTCCCCACACACCCAGGCCCCTTGAACTATCACCGTCTTCTCCCTCCCGTTCTCATTCTATTTACTTCAGTTCCCTGCCCTGCATTTAGGCTCTCCTTCTGCTGATATGTTTGTTGTTCAGATGGCTATCCACTCATGTACGCTAAAGTTCTCATCCTGTTGGTCAAAACCAAACTTGGCTCTCCATTGTCATTTAATTATTTTCTTAAATATTCAGGACTTAACTTGATTTAGCCTAATAGTTTACTTATATAATACTTAACAGAAGAATAATGAACACTTGTCAATAATAGAGGTTCCAGAGCCTCACCCCAAAACCACTGAAGCAGAATGTCTTTTGGAATCTGTTTTGTGTAAACTGCCCAGCTGATTCTGGTATTCATTGAAGTCTTAAAACCTATTAAAAGGTTAATAAAGTCTTATCAGAATTAACTTTTTATAATGTGTTCTCTCTCCTTATCTCCCCCTTTACTTTGACCTTTTAAGCACTTTCTTTGCTCCAAATCTCTCACCTTTATAGGTCTCCCTTGCCTTATAGGTCCAGTTTTGTCTTATACCCAATACCCAACTAAAATGTCTTTTTATTTCCTTGTCATCTCAGAACATAGAGCAAGACATCTCTAAATTCAAGTGCTGTTTGACCAGTGCTTCTTTCATGGTATTTATGCCAAGTGAAGTTTTCTGCGTTCGCTCTTACTCATGTTCATAGATTATGTACTCAGATCCTGGAATATAGGCCACCTGACAACAAATTCAATGAACAAATAAACAGATGCCCACTCTGTCTCTTTCAGGTCATTTCTACTCTCCCCACATTCCATAAAAATGTCTTCAATTACTTAATGGCATTTTTGCAAGAACTGCTGAAAAATTCAGCGAAGAATCATTTGGATGAGAATATTCTAGGTAAGCAGCTAGCTAGGCATTTAGGAAAACATCTGTGTAAAATGAGTCATTATGAGAAAAGAGGTTGAGGAGGGTCCCAGGTCCATTACAGTAGAATTTAAATTTCAAGCTCTGAGCAAAGTTTACACTCAAGTAATTTTTTGCTTTGTTTCAAAGCAGAAAACACTGTTCTTTGGTAACCCCTTCTCTGCTCCTAAAGAATAAGTAGTACTTTCTGTTGCTGAATCATTTTTTTTCTTTTCTTCATACAGCAAGCATATTTGGCAGTTTATTGCTTCGAAACCCAGCTGATCACCAAAAACTTGAAATGACAGATAAGAAGAAGGCTCAAGAGTTTATTCACCAGTTCCTCTGCAACACACTCTGAACCTCTCCATCTCCCTCTGTTTTATCTGAGGCAGCCAATTGCCATCCCCAGCGGTTTCTGCTCAAGTGATGCCTTAAGATGATAGGAAGCCACCCAGAATCAGGAATGGCAGCTACTTGATTGCTGAGCCCAGATCGCCCCCTATCCTGCCATCAGTTAGCCTGCTCACTATTGAGCTGTGAAGACTGGGGGAAATCCACCACAATAAAACTGACATTTGGTGTTCAACTTCAGTTAACGCAGATCTCTATTAATTCTTTAGTACTTTAAAAAATTTAGGCCAGGCGTGGTGGTGCTTGCTTATAATCCCAGCACTTAGGAGGCTGAGGCAGGAGAGTCATGAATTCAGTGCCAACCTGGGCTACATAGCAAGTTCAAGGCCATTGTGGAATACGTAGACTCAAAAAAACAAGGAAGGTGACTATACTCACTCAGCCTTGCTCCAGGGCATACTTAATGCCATCCTTGTAGCTGCGCTCTTTACAATTCGACATTTGAATAAACTTTGAAGTCCTAAAAGGAAAATGAGTTGGACAGCAAGAATTCAGGTGGAGAGTTCTGGATAAACAAGCCTCAGCCACCTCAGTCTCATCCATTTCTCAGTCTGAGGACAAGGCAAACATGCATTTGGAAACTCTACCCCCTTCCTACTCAGATAATGGCTCAATAACTCTGAGGTTGGTCACTCAGCTTCAGAGGGCAATACAGTGGCTTACAGGTGAAAAAAAGAGGAAATGCGTGTTCTGGTGAAGCAACCGAGAATTTCTAGGCCAGCAAATCCTCCAAACTGTATTTGCATTTCTGCTCATATTTGTAATATATTTTCATGATAAATGTATTTTTAACAGTATTTGTTGTGTTTTTCTCTTAAGATATGGCAGTCCTTGGCAGTTGGACCTTTGTGGTTTAAGCATTGAGACAGCTGATCAGGAGCCAGAGACGAATGCCTGGCAGTCTGGTGGATAATAGTTACTAATCACATTTTCCAAGCAAGAGAGTGGGCCATGGCCTGAATCCCTGATCTATTCTTCCAAGGGTTGTCTCAATATTATAGAGGTAGTTTACCGGAAAAACAGGCATTGGTTGCTGGGAGGATCTAACAGCTAGATCTTACAGGAACTTAGAAAAAATGAGAGCATACTACAGATACACATAAAATCGCTTTTTGGGCTCCAGAATGCCACTACTTCCCTCCAGTGTGGTTAGTGATTTACGAGATGGACCGACAGGATGAATGTGAGCAGTTAAAGAAAGGGAGTGACCAGCAGGTGGCGTCGACTGGCTCGGGCGGGAGAATCCTCTACAGGGGAGAAAAGTTGGGGCGGCTAGGCTGGGCAGGAGTACAAGGAGAAAGGAAACTGGGCATTTTATGAAAGCGTTTTGAGAAGTGAGCAGCGTCCTCTCTGGCTGGGCCTGGAATGCTCTTAGCTGCTTTCTGAATCCAGTCCTTTTCTTGATCCTCCTGCCTCGTTAACTTTGCTGAGTGACAATGGGGCGCTGGCGCCGTAAAGGAAGGCCAGGAACAGCCTCACCCCTGGCGGGTCCGAGCCGGGAATCTAATCGCTAACTGGCGTCCTTTCCGTTACAGTCGTGGCACAAGCTGGGCTGACGATATGTCGTATTTGTGGTCGAGAGTCACTCCCCGTTTCTGGTGAACATCCTCGAAGACCAGGACGCTTCCTGGTATATAACCCCGAGCTCACCTAGCCAGCGACTACTCACGCCGCCCCGCCCGGCCCTGGGGCTTGCCAATTGGACGCTCGGGCTCAGCCCCCAGACCGCCGAAACCAACCAGGAGCGCCAGAGAGAGGTGGAGAGGCTGTCTCCTCCTTCCTCCGGAAAGAGGAAGCGGAAGTGACGTTAGGGAAAGGTGGGGGCAATCATGGTGCCGCTGGGGAGGGGAGAAGCTGCTGCCGCCGCTGTTGCCGGGAGCCGCGGAGGTAAAAGGCTAAACTAGACGGCGTGGGCTGGGACTTCCAGGGGGTCGCGGGACTTAGATTCCCTCCTGAAGCAGTTTCCAGTAGAGACCCCAGTTCGCTCTCCGTAGGGACCCCACCCCTCCTCCGTTTCCATGGGGATGGGTATCTTGCCCCCCTTTCCTGTCTCCATGGATACCCGGACCCTGCCCCTCTTCGCCCAACTGGTAGCCCCCTGGCCTGTCTTAGGATTTTCCCTTGTAGTCCTGGGCTGGGGGCCATTCCGTACAGGTTCTTCTCTCCAGCTCTTCAAGGGTGCTCTATTCGCACTCCTTGTTGGCCATCCTCAAACCTCCTGGTCGTGTTTGTTCCGGACAGTTGGTCTCCGCGTTGCCGCCGAATGTGCCGGGGCAGCCCATTGGGCCCTTGATACTCTTATCTCTCCTCTCAGATGCAGGGAAATGTGCATCTGTGGGGTTGCGTAAGCCAGAGCGAGGGGTCGGGCCGGTTCCTCCCGGATCAGATCCCTTGACCTGTCTCTGGTAACTACCTCTCTGTCCGGCCACCCTACTACGTAAAGGCTCGCTTTGAAACCCTGAGCCGAAGAGAAAGACAAAGTACAAAGCCAAACTGAAAACTAAAAGTAATATACTAGTTATTTTTAAATTATGTTCTGCCTGTCAAACCCACATTTATAGACCTGTGTGTTTGCAGGTGACGGAGAAATCACTATTTCAGAGCACGAATACCTCACATTTGGTATTTTCTTAAAGGGAGTATGTCTTCCCAAGATAATATATCTATATGTCTTTCATTCATTTAGGTGACATTTTCTGAGCTCCTAGCAAGTGTCAGTGTAGCTTTCAGGCCAGAGAGCTCAGTATACTTTCGGATCCATACCATGTCGTTGTATTTGTTTGTTTGTTAATTTATTTATTTGAGACAGGGTCTTGCTATATAGCCCAGGCTGGCCTTGAACTGGCAGTAGTCCTCCCACCTCCACCTCCCAAGTGCTGGGCTTACAGGCGTGCACCACCACACCCGGCTACCGTGTTGTTTTAGAAGATAGAAATTAAATTATTTTCATTAGATGTACATTATTAGGGATTAGCACCTTCACCCAGAAGCTATGACATATGTTCTAGAACGGAGAGAAAGAATCCACATCTATTCCTGTATTTGTCAAACATTGCACTGTACATACCCTGTTTTACTCTTTATCACAACTTTGAGAAAATTGAGGGTTAGAAAAGTTACCTAAAAATAAAGGACAAAGCCAGGATTAGTAGGTGAATGACTTTACGTCCAGAGCCATGTTTCTTCTGTCACGGGCTATGTGAAACTCTGTATTGTCCCCATGGTATGATTTGAGTGAAATTGACTGACTTTCAGATTTAAGCAACTCAGCCTTGATGCAGCCACTGTTCTATTGGTTCCTTTTTTCTCTTTAGCTATTTTGACCTATCTTCAAATTGACAGGCTCATTTCGAAGGTCTTGTGAATTACTACGTATTCCTTAGATTTTTAGGGGTAAATAAAGCATTATTTTTCTTAAGATTAACTTGATTGCATCAAAGTTGAATTTTAAAAATATTGCTCAAGATATTTTCCATTTGTTTTGGCCTTTTTAAATGTGGGAAAATGAACACAGGTTTTGGGGGAGGTCACTGGGTCTTGTGGTGTGGCTCTAATTCTGGCTTTGTCTGTTACAGAAAGGTCGTTACCTTTCCATTTCTCACAATTGGGCTGAGCACGATTGCATCATGGGGGAACACAGTCCAGACGACAACATCATCTTCTTTGAGGCAGAGGAAGATGACAAGATGCTCAGGTTTGTGGATACAAACGGACTGGTGCCTTCTTCATCTGGAACTGTTTATGATAGGACCACGGTTCTTATTGAGCAGGATCCTGGCACTTTGGAGGATGAAGATGATGATGGACAATGTGGAGAACACTTGCCTTTTCTAGTAGGGGGTGAAGAGGGCTTCCACCTAATAGATCAGGAAGCAATGTCCCAGGGTTATGTGCAACACATTATTTCACCTGATCAGATTCATTTGACTATAAACCCTGGTTCCACACCCATGCCAAGAAATATCGAAGGTGCAACTCTTACTCTGCAGTCGGAATGTCCAGAAACAAAACGTAAAGAAGTAAGTAAAGCAGTGGTTGAAGGCCTGTTTTGGTTTGGGGACACCTCCTGATGCAAGTCTTGTTGACAGTTTTAACGGGGTAGTAAAAGAGTCCCTGGGTTTAGTGGCTACAGTGGTTTTGCCTGTCAGTAGCACATATGCTTCGTGTTTTGTTGTGTTTGCTTTCTGGAACTTTATAATTGTATGCCCATGTTGAAATTTAGGAATATAAATGATGGTTAAATTTTCCTCCTTAAATTATCAATAAAGTGGCAGTTTCACTGAAGTAAATCATGTTTCTGGTACTGAAATAACTAAATTTGGCCTAATAGCAAATAATTAGATTTAGCTTATCTCTAGGTTGTATATAAATGATTTTTTTGAAGATGAGTATCTACTGGAGTATGCTTTATTTAAACTTAGTGAATGTTTAATGAATCCTAAAAGCTAGCTTTCTTTTAGAAGAAATTCAGGTGAGAGACATGTTGCAAATGAATGTAGGTTATCTGAAATAGGTTGTCATATTCGTGTTTGGGTAATGTGAGTAAGGTAACATGTCAGGATTCTTTGAAAACTAAAATATTTTACAAATTGTACTAGTGATGGTTAATGGAATGCAAGTTACTGTTTAAAGGTAGTGGTAAACTATGCTAGAATCTAATTAACTTTATAAGTTAATTAGTGCAAGTAGGTCACTGGTAGTTACAGTGCTAGGGAGTAAATGTAAGGTGTTACCAAACAGAAATAGGGTTAAGAAAATATTTTTCTTTTTTGCTGTAGTTAAGGTATTAAAATTATGTATGGCTGGGCCAGGGTTTTAGCTCAAGTGGCACAGTATCTGCCTGGCAAATGCAAGGTCCTGGGTTCAATCCCTGGTACCAAAAAAAAAAGAAAAGAACAAAATTACATATATAGCTTATTCATGACATTTGGCTTTTCTTTTTCTTTTTTGTTTTTGTTTTTGTTTTTGTTTTGTTTTGTTTTGTTAGTGGGGACTGATCTCTGGTTCTTACATTTGAGAGGCAGGCAGTGGAACCACTGAGCTAAATCCCCAGCCATGGCTTTTCATTTTCTAATCTTAGACTCTTGGAGCTAGAAGGAACCTGAGCAAGACCATCTTGTCTCCCACCTCATGCAGGAATCTCTCAGTAGCATCTCTGACATTAGTTCATTGGTCTGTGCTTGAACATTTCCAGAATGACAGGAACATAGTCTTTCACACCTTAGCCCAATACATCTGTTGGCCCACTCTTGATTGTTAGAAGGCTTTTGCTTTTATATAGAGGCAAAATCAGTCTTCCTGCAGTGGTTGACCCTGGGTCTTGATCTGCCTTCCTGGGTAACTTTCCTCCCATAGGACAGCCCATCAGCTACATAAAGATCGTTGGCTTCCCTTCATCTTGGTACAGACCGACCATCTCCATTTAGTTATGTGTCCCTCTTAAGACATTTTCTTCCAGTCCCTTGATGGCTTTGTCAGCTTTAATTGAATAAATTCCAATTTTTAAAGTCCTTTTAAAATTCAGAGTTGAGCACAATCTTGCAAATGTGAGTCAACTAGTACTGAATACTGCTTATCCCTTAATCTGGACCTGTACTGCGATTACTATGTAGCCTCTATTCTATTCTATGCTATGTATTTATTTATTTATTTTTTTGGTGCCGGGGATCGAACTCTGGTCCTTGCACTTGCAAGGCAGGCATCGGAACCACTAGCTAAATTCTCGGCCCATGTAGCCTGTATTTTATTAGCAACAACTACTTACTGTTAGCTTGTATTGGAAACCTGTAGAATAGTGGTTCTCAATTGGGTGTAATTTTGCTCCCCAGAAGACATTTGGTAATGTCTGGAAATATTTTTGGTTGTCACACTGGGAAGCTGATCCTGGAATCTGGTGGGTAGAGGCCAAAGGTGGTGTTAAACATTTTATAGTGCACAAGATGGCCCCTGTAACAGAATTATCTGGCCCAAAATGTTAACAGTGCTGTGACTGAGAAATTCTGCCTCTATTATTCTTTTGAGTGCAGCTGTCAAGTCTTGTGCAGTTCAATGTGGAGACCTGTGTATAGGCCTTAAGAATATCTCCCTACTAGACTGAGGCAGGAGGAGTGTGAATTCCAGGCCAACCTGAGCTACATAGTGAGAACCTGTCTCAAAGCAAAATAATACAAAACAAAATAGTGGTTTCAGCCCAGTATTTAAGCTTGTAGGGGTTCATTTCAACTCAACAAACATTTATAAAGCAAGGTGTTGTTATACTCTGTGAGATTGCAGATGACTGTGGCAATTTACAGTATGGAAGTAGAAATATGTTTATGACGGTAATCATAACATTAGACATAATGTGGCAAATGCGAAGGAGAGGTACAAATATCACACTGGGAGCACAGAGGAGCTCACCTTTAGGATCAGGCAAATTTTCATGAAAAAGGTAGCATTTGAGCTTTTTTTTTTAAGTACATATAGTGCCGGGGATTTAGCTCAGTGGTTCCGCTGCCTGCCTTGCAAGTGCAAGGACCCGAATTCGATCTCCAGTACCAAAGAAAAAAAGAAAAGTACCGAATTCTATCCCCGGTTCCAAAAAAAAAGAAAGAAAAGAAAAGTACATATAGTATTTGCAGTACTTGAGCTAGTCTTGAAGAATGTGTACAGTTTAGGGGAAAAGCAGGGGTCCTCCCAAGAGACAGGAACAGCGTGAACAAATATGTGGAGGTGAAAACGCAGTTTTCAAAGAATCGCAGTGACCCTGTTAGAACACTGTCATACGCCTTTTCTGTAAAGGGCTAAAAAGTAAGTATTCTATGTTTTGCAGGCCATATGCCCTCAGCTGCAACTACTCCCATTTTCCATTATAGCACAAAAGCCACTATAGATAGTATATAAATGATCAAGCATGGCTGTGTTCCGATAAAACTTTATTTACAGAAACAGGCAGTGTGCTAGATTTGGCTTACTGGTTGTTGTCGACCCTTGGACTAGAACATGGGGAGTAATAGGAGATGAGGGTAGAAAGATAGCCAACATCCAAACCTGGAAGCCAGTGTTCTAACATGCTAAGGGTTTGAACTAAATTTCAGAAATACTGGGAAACCACTCCAGTGTGTGAGCCAGGGAATAGTGTGATTAGAGTGGCATTTGAGACAATGCTCTAGCAGAAGTTGTTGCTTGGAGTTAAAAGAAGTTGGAGACTTTAAGTGCCCAATTTGAAGACTTTCAAGTCAGACATGGTGGCACACACCTGTAATCCCAGGACTTGGGAGATTGACATAGGAGGATTGCTGTGAGTTTGAGGTCAACCTGAGCCACTCAGTGAGTGCAAAGCCAACCTGAACTACATAGTGAGACCCAGTCTCAAAAAAAAAAAAACTCTTGCCATGTAGGTTTGGGATTTCATTTAATTCTGATGAAGGAAAGAATCAAGAGCTTTCATAGAAGTATGAGAAAATTTTGTATGTTATTAGAATTTGAGGAATGAGCCATGAGTTGGATGTGATTAAAAGGTTTGAACCATGTGATTGAAAAGGTTTTGAATTTAAAAGGTTTTGAATCATTTGATTGAAAAGTTTCATCCATTTCTCCAAGCTTGTTGAATTTCTGGTTGTGTCTTAGCACAGCTGAGTAGAGCTGGTGAAGAGTTAAGTAGTAAACAATCCACTGTGGTTGGCGTGTTCATATCACCCCAGTGCTGCTGAGGAGAAAGTGGCTGACTCTGCTCTCTACCCTCTACATCCTGTCCCCCAAGTGGTGATTCCATTAGTAAGAATAAAGGAAGGAAGAGGGAAAAGTTTGGTGGGGAAATTGATGATTTTGGTTGGAGTATATTGAATGTGTAGTCCTTGGAGAAATGTAACAAGAGTAAGTTGGAATACCCATTCTCAAGGAAATTATAGATAGAATTGTGGATCCATGCAGGGACAGTAGTTCAAACTATAGACAGTTTATCTGAGGAAGAAATGAGAGTTGGTCTGAGAATTGAAGGGTTGAAAAGAGAAAGAGGAACCAGAGAAGATTACAGAAGTCAAAGAAATGGGTGGAATGCAGTGTCATAGAAGCCAAGGGACAGAGTGTGAGGAAGTATGACTTCTTGAATATGACCCTGCAGAGGAGCACCTGGCTCACCCAGTTCATATCTTAAGGAGAGACTGGAGGCTGAAGCCAAAGTTTGAATGATGACAAAATAAGTCTTGAGGAAGCAGGAAGTATAAAGTTTGTTTTTTTCAGTTTTTTTGCAGTAGTAGCGATTGAACCCAGGAGCTTCACACTGAACTACATCCCCAGTCCAGTTTTATTTTTTCTTTTGAGACAAGGTCTCACTAAGTTGTTAAATTGTCCAGGATGGTCTGAAACTTGGGAGTTGGAGGAAGAAGAGTGATGAGGCATTAGTTGCTCGGAGGGATTGATTGATTGATTGATTTTTGAGATAGGGTCTCACTGTGCAGTCCAGTTTGGCCTTAAACTCATTTTGCAACCGAGGATGGCAGTGATCCTACTGCTTCAGCCTCCCAAGTGCTGGGGTTACTGGGTGCACCACCACACCCAGCTTTTTTTTTTTAAAGCACAGAAAGTTTGAACACAGTTTTGGACCTAACTTTAGCCTATCCTTAGTATTACTGTGTGAAAGTGTTTCATAAACAGATGTTTGGGGAATGTTGTTAATTTTTTCCCCATTAAGTTTATTGGTACATTTAAAGGAAACGGTACAGTTATATTTATCATTGGGATCTTGTACTTTTGCATGATATATCTTGATTCTTATTTTTTCCCCCATACCCCTGCCCTCCCTTCACCTCCTTCATCCATCCCTATTTATAAAGACTTTGTTTCCATTTTTTCTTTTTTCACATTTTTTCTTTTCCCTATTTCCTTTCCCGTCCCCTCCCCACTTCCTCTTTAGCCATTTTATTCTTATTTCACACTTTCAATAATACCATTTGAACCTTATTTACACTTTCAGTTTTTCACATAAGAGAAACTATTCAGTATTTACTCAAGTGTGTCCTATTTATTTCTCTTAAGAGTA